AAATACAGTACATATTTTGACTTGTGGATAAATCATCTAGGTTTTTGTGTCAATTTTTTTGATAAAATTTCAAAACTTACATATGAATGTATTCAGGGCTTACTGAATGATTGTAGAATCAAGTGTCTTTATTAACATCTCTTTTCTATCATCTGTAACATGTAACACGAAGCCTACAAATGTAGAGTGGAGATTTGCATGTCCGGAGGACAAACATTTTGTTTTGAGGAACATACCAGCATAATATGTCCAGTGAAAGAATGAGGTCTTACAAATTTTTCATTTTCAGTGCAGCGAGCCTTGAGTCTTTCTAGCTTCAGGTTTCTCTAGCTTTTATATTAAGTGAAATTAACTGGTAACTGTTTGCAAATGCATGAGCATGTGAAAGCACACTTACGTGCATTATTGTTGACCTTTCAGATGTTGATTCAAGCATTTTTCCTTCAGATATTTTTCCTTTAAATTTTTTACAAGAATGTCTTTAAGAAATAATTATTACCCTTGTGATTTCAGAATGTGGAATTTATGCAGTCAATTCTTTGCTTTTTTTATGGCTCCATTTACATGAGTAGGATGTTTACTGTGTCATAGATTTTGATGCATCTTTTGCGGGTCTCACTCCCACATCGTTTCTCGGACTTGACATAATGGCTTTATGTAGACTAGGTTTTGCAGAATGTGTTGGAAAATCAGTATTCGTTGCTTCAGATTTACATAGAGGAAACTGAGCACATTGGAATGTCTATTTGTCAAGGTGTAGCTATCACGTGCTTAACACAAGTCCTCTTTTTTAAGTAAGAGATATATTTGAAGTAGCAGTGCATAGAGAGCAATTTTGTTACCTTATCTAGTTTTCTACATAAACGTTTCGAGTAAATGATCTTGAAGAGCTGGCTTCTGAAAAGGCAATTCTAGTTTCTCTGTGCTGTAAAAAATGAAGTAGATTTTTCCAGTTTTCTTGAGATGTGTTTCTCAGTTACAGTTACAGGGAAGGGGGAACATCAACTTACTTATAATGACTATATACTATCCAGATAGGCAGCATGATGTAATGGTTTGAGTGTTGGACTTTGGAGGCCAGTGTCCAAATCCAAATCAGCCAGGGAAATCTACTGTGTAACCTTGGGCAGGGTTCCTCAGCCTCAGAGGAAGACAAAAACAACTTCCCTCTAAACAAATCTTGCAAAAAAAAACAAAAACAGCCTCACGATATGTTTACCCAAGGACCTCCATAAGTTGGAAATATCTTGAGGCACACAACAGCAATGCACTGTGCATCTATGGACTGGGTTTTTTTAAGGCTTAGAGCCCATTCTTGGATCATTGTCTTCTATGTTGTGACTTGTGTATTCATCCTATTTTGTATATTTCTTATTTCTGAAGTTCTTCCTTTCATTTTAATCTAGTGTTGCTTGTCTGAGGCATTTCAAAAGATTAAGTATTAAACTGTTGATTTGGCTAGACAGTGATCCCATATATTAAGTATTTTTGCATTTCAAAAATGCATAGCAGTTTCTCTGTGGGTAAAAATCTTAAGATCATTTTTCTTCCAAATTTCATAAAGGTCAAGAGAAATCTGATAAAAATTTTATATGATTTAAAAAGCACATCCTATTAAACTTTCATAAAGAGGTAACAACAGCTAGAGCCCAGATTGAAAAGCTTAGCTATTATAAAGTTTCATGAAGAGGCAGCAGCAGTTAATGATAGAATAACTGTTCACTTTCTTTGTGTTGACTTCACACAGTTTGGAAGCAAACTACAATTATTACTTCTTAACATTGAAAATTATCAGAATATCACCTTTCATATATGCATTTGAACAGTCACAGGCCTTCTAGAACTAAAGGAAGGAAATGTAGAAATAGATACCAAATATGTATTGTGCAAAATAGATTCTTAGTTGGTTCCTTGAATGACCAACGTTATTGAACCTATCGGTCATCTATATATATAAAATACAAAGTACATTAATGTACATGTAAGTATGTTTACATGGATGGATGGGTGGTTGTTTGATCCACAAGGGTTCCTATGTGGCTTGATGGATCTCAGCCAAACTTGGTAAGCATAGCCATCAATTTAAATACTGAAGTTATTTTATCTTTATCCTGTCTTTTTACCAAAACTGGGATTCAAGGCAGTTCTGTGCACCCACAACAGTTTTTGTTACAGCACTATTATGGAATCAAATAGCCAACTTGATCTTAAATCTTTATAAGCAGAAATATATATGTGGGATGGTACCATGTTGGTCTTTTTGGCTTTCTCAGTGGATTTTGATACCATCAGCTATGGTAACTTTTTGAATAAGTTGGTGATATGCATATGGGCCAGTGTCTGGATGTGGTGGTGAAGGGGATGAAGGCCATTAAATTCACACAAGAGGGTTCTTTATGGGTGAGAGGTTGAGTAGGTCACCCACTCTAATCGTCGTGTGTACTTTTCTCTATACACAAGAAAAAATGCAAGTGAAGGCACAGTTCACATTACTATTCACAAAGACACAGTGAGACCTGTAATACCAAACTATAAAACAAAGGTGACAAGATCTGAGGCTAGATTTGAGGAGAGGTGCCAGTATGTAAAATGAAATTATTTCTTTAATAATATTCAAAACTAAACAACCACAGACCACAAGTTAAAATAATGTCAAAAGGCGTAATATACTGAATCATACAAAAAATTATTTCAAAAGAGGATTGTACTTGTGGGAAGATGAATTTTGAGAGGAGATTGGAATTTTGTAGTACCTGAACATCTCAATGAGAGAATGAAAATTGTGTCATAAGCTTTCTTAGTCTAAGTTTCCTTGAAGTAGTCTGCAGAATCTACCAGCTTGGTCCCTTCTGTTGGTGGCTAGGGTGCTACAATGTATAAGGGAAAGGTTTAGAACACAGAAGCAAAAAAAAAAAAAAAAGAAAAGAAAAAGCTCAGCAACATTGTGTTGTCGTTTATTTGTTCAGTCACTTCCGACTCTTCGTGACCTCATAGGCCAGCCCATGCCAAAGCACCCTGTCGGCCGTGGCCACCCTCAGTTCCTTCAAAGTCAAGCCAGTCACTCCAAGGATACCATCCACCCATCTTGCCCTTGGTCTGCCTCTCTTCCTTTTTCCTTCCATTTTCCCCAGCATCATTTTCTTCTCCAAACTTTTCTGTCTTCTCATTATGTGGCCAAAGTACTTCATCTTTGCCTCTAATATCCTTCCCTCTAGTGAGCAGTTGGGCTTTATTTCCTGGAATATGGACTGGTTTATAGAATCATAGAATCTAAGAGTTGGAAGAGACCTCATGGGCCATCCAGTCCAACCCCCTGCCAAGAAGCAGGAATATCGCATTCAAATAACCCCCGACAGATGGCCATCCAGCCTCTGTTTAAAAGCTTCCAAAGAAGGAGCCTCCACCACACTCTGGGGCAGAGAGTTCCACTGCTGAACGGCTCTCACAGTCAGGAAGTTCTTCCTCATGTTCAGATGGAATCTCCTCTCTTGTAGTTTGAAGATCTTCTTGCAGTGCAAGGCACTCTCGGAATTTTCCTCCAGCACCACAGTTCAAAGGCGTCTATCTTCTTTCGCTCAGCCTTCCTTATGGTCAGCAACATTGTACTGCAAGATTTTTCTGCAATCTTGCCCAGGTTTATCCATTTTCCACATCGTTTTTGTTGTCAGACAATTTCAGTCATAACATTCAGTAAACTAGAATTTTCATCAGACAATTAACCCTCGCTCTAATATTAACCCTTTTGCCGTCTCAAATGTTTTGTCCATCTATCCCAGTATTTTCTACTATGACTGACTGTTGCACTTTAAAATCTTTGAAAGAGGACTTTGTGATCACCTACTACCTCATAGTTTTAACTTGATATGCCAAGGATTAAATTTTGGACAGGCTATGTGCAAGGAAATGATTTACTACTGGTGGTAGTATAATTACATCTTAGTCTTTATTTGGTTATAGAACCTAGCTAAAACGATGAAAAGGAATGAGGCCATTTTAAAACAATATTATTTTAATTAAGTATACTTAAGAAATCACATTTTGAACTCAAAAATGTTTCAAAACGAACAAGTCACCAAAAGAAGTCAGTCTTACAGAACTATTATAGTGTTAATCTGTGAAATGTTTTGTCAGATTACATACACTGCCCCAAAACAGGGCTTCATCGAAATCATTTTCTGTAACATGTCCTTCAAAACCAATCTGTGTTGCTAAATGTGGACTCATACACCACATTTTCTTAAGGAAATCAATGTATAGCACTTGATGTGTTTGTATGCTGGAGTTTTGTTTCTTCATATATGTATTTCATATAGGTTGACTTACTTGTTTGGGGCTGTGAAATATTTAAATTAAGAATTGTCTTTTTAAGAAGCATTGCAGAATGGCACATAAATACTAGGATAAATTAATTCAAAATCAAATGTCTTCTTACATATTCCTGTCAAATCTTAGAAAATTAAGAAAAGATTAATGTAAGCACCCCTTTTCAGACTTCTGGTTTCCACAGTTTACAGAAAAGCTACAAAATGATCAAGACAGACGCAAGAAAATATCATTATAAGGATAGACTCTTCAAAGTAATTCTTCAAAGGACATAATTATAGTTACTTAAATGCGTGGGTTTTTTTTGTTTTTGTTTTTGTTTTTAACCAACTTGCCTTGCCTGATTGCCATTGCAAAAGATAGCCCTTCTCTTGTCAGGTTTCCTAGTTAGTGAAGCAAAGAAATGTGACGTTTCCTCTGTAAAAGTGACTTACCATAGAAATGGTTTTCATTAGCTGGCAGACAGTCATTCTTAATTGTCTTGGAAGATGTGACTAAAATGGAATTAGCACTGTAAGCAAATATTCTTGCTTGTTACCAAAATGGATTCCCATAAAGAAATGAACTTGAATATACTGGAGTAGTTGAATTAATACAGCACTTAATATCTTGTAAAAGGAAATTTAAGAGGGAAATGTTCTTGTCCAGTATCTAATCTCAATATTTTTCTTATATAGCGCCGTCTTGGAGATGCTGCCAAGAAAGCTGTTGGTAAACTGACAACGAGGACTGTGAAGAAAGGTGATAAGGTATAGTCATATGATCAAAATGTTAGTTGTTTCTTTTATTTCACAGTAAATTTTATTAATTACACCTGGATTGTTGTTGTTGTTGTTGTTGTTCATTCGTTCAGTCGTCTCCGACTCTTCGTGACCTCATGGACCAGCCCACGCCAGAGCTCCCTGTCGGCCGTTACCACCCCCAGCTCCCTCAAGGTCAGTCCAGTCACACCTGGATATATCCCCCTAATTCTAGTTTTTTTCCCCATTTTCAATCATTATTTTTCAGGTTTTTCAAACATGCTTTTTGTTGTCCCACTTTGCTGCTGACTGTCTCCCCATTGCAGCTTTGGAAACCATATTATATTATTATGGCTCATGTCTACATTATCTTTCTAAACCTTGTTATTTTTCCAGTCTTTGCTTATTGTCTTCCTTTTTTCCAATGCTTATCTGTGATGTTGGGATAAACTTATTTTTTCTTTAGTTGGCATACCAAATTCTTCAATTGTTCCTTTGCCATACTATATGTATAAGCTTTAAATCAGTGGTTCCCAGCCTTTTGCCCAGCATTGCCCTATTGCCCTATTATTTGTATTTTTCTCTAGAGACATATTAAAGTTCATTTGAGCTTTCAAGCATTTTTCTTTCTCAGTTTATTCCAAATTATTTTATGTTCTAAGTACAGGTACACCTCAGTTAATGACATAGATGTGTTTCTGGGCTTTACTACTTTAAAAGAAATGCTGCTACCTGGGGGCAATAATAATACCACAGAAAAGAAGCTAATATGTTTCTGCAAATTTTTAATTCAAAACTAATATTATGTATATTAGAAATGAAACAACTAGGTCAGATAAGCCTTGCATATGTAAACAAAAATATATTGAATATTCTAGAGAGCCCTGTTCTTTCAACACTTTTTTATGATTCAATTTTGGTGATGAAGCATATACATCTATGTATTGTCAAAGGCTTTCATTGCTGGAATCACTGGGTTGTTGTAAGTTTTTCGGGTTGTATGGCCATGTTCCAGAAGCATTCTCTCCTGACGTTTTGCCTGCATCTATATCAAGCAGCCTCAGAAGTTGTGAGGTCTGTTGGAAACTAGGAAAGTGGGGTGAGAGAAAGAGCCCTTGTCTGTTTTAGGTGGGTGTGAATGTTTCAGTTGGATACCTTGATTAGCATTTGACGGCCTGATAGTTTTTAGGTGTGCCCTGTTACTGCCTGGGGGAATTCTTTGTTGAAAGGTGATTAGCTGTCCCTGATTGTTTCTTGTCTGGAGATCCTTCTTTATTTACTGTTATGATTTTAGGGTTTTTTAATACTGGTAGCCAGATTTTGTTCATTTTCATGGTTTCTTCCTTTCTGTTGGAATTGTCTACATACTTGTGGATTTCAGTGGCTTCTCTGTGTAGTCTGACATGGTAGTTGTTAGAGTGGTCCAGGATTTCTGAGTTCTCAGATAATGTGCTGTGTCCAGATTGGTTCATCAGGTGCTCTGCTACGGCTGACTTCTCTGGTTGAATTAGTCTGCAGTGCCTTTCATTTTCCTTGATTCGTGTTTGGGCAATGCGGCGTTTGGTGGTCCCTATGTAGACTTGCCCACAGCTGCATGGTATATGGTAGCCTCCTGCAGAGGTGAGAGGATCTCGCTTGTCCTGTGCTGAACATAGCATTCTGTGGATTTTCTTAGTGGGTCTGTAGATAGTTTGTAGGTTGTCCTCATCAGCTTCCCTATGCAGTCAGTGGTTCCCTTGATGTATGGCAAGAACACTTTTCTCTGGGTGGATCTTTGTATTTACTCTTGTGGCTTGTTCTTGGTCTTACAGCTCTTCTGATGTCCGTGGTAGAGTATCTGTTGGCCTGTAACGCCTAGTTTAGGTGGTTCAGTTAATCTTGGAGGAGGTGGGGTTCGCAGATTCTTTTTTGAAAGGTCTGCCAGGGCTTTAATAATATACATCTATGTTTTTTCAACATTCCAGAATGGCTGATGAGGCAAATTAATCTACTTTCCCCTTTTCTTTCTGTTTGTATGCAATTATACTTATCTGCAGCATGATCACCAAGAAAATAATCCCACTCTTTTCCCAACTCAAGTTTTATTGCATTGTTTACTGCAGGCATGCTGCTGCAATCCACTCCTCAGAGTCTTTATCCAGCCCTCCTTCACCAGCATCTGAATGCCATTGACAGAAAAGAGATTTAATTTACAGAGATATCCTGTAATTGATTACAAGACTCTTTCCCATTAAGAAAGTCACCTAGATACATACATTTAGAGCAGTATTAATACTAATGTGGTATTAACAACAAGAACTGGGAAGCCCAAGCACTCAAGCATTGTAATTGGAGGTCAGCCATGTCCAACAGTGCTATGGATTTTGAAGAGGTACAAATACAGGACAAAAGTAAGAAATGTGTCAAGAAGGCACCTCAAGGAAATCCTTGTTGTGACTGCCTTCCATCTGGCAATATATGTCCACAAGGTGAAAGACTGTGTGAATCCAGAATAGGACTTCACAATCACTTACAGATCCACCACCAAGATTCTACCTCTGAAAGACAATCATACTTGTCCACAAGTGATTGCCCATAATGAATACTGACAGTGAAGTTGCCACCTTCCTCATGACACTGATCCAAGATTGAATTATTTGGAGGATGCAATTCACACAGCAGGGGATGCACATGTAGTTGACAGGCATATGGGAATAAATCTGTCACTCATCAATGTTAACCATCAGGGTTCTCTGTGTGAAATACTGGTTGTCCATTTCCAGCAGTGAAGTTGCTAATTTTGTCTTCTGGTGCTTTTTGAAGTCTGTGCCTGTACTTTATTATATATGGAGGAAATGTATATGATTTGTTTGTCTTCAGAAAAAAATAGGCTTTGCATATACTCCAAAATACTGAAACACTTATAAAAATATAATGATATTGAAAATCTGTGATACAGAGACTGTGCAGTTATTGTTCAGTTGGACTGTAACTACATAGGAATGCTCAAGAACCGATATTATCACCTAGGAATGGTAGCTCATCAAATATAGCAAGCGCTATGCTTTGAAAGCCAGAGGAAAAACAAATGTTTGTCCTAGGTTTCTACGCAGTCCAGCATATGGATTCTATATGTGTGTTGTGAGAAGTTTAGAGCTTGTTTTGAGACTTGTTCCCTGCCCTCAAGTGTGCTGTACTTCCAGTCTTTTTCTTCTTTTCCCTTTTTGGTGGCAGCAGGAGTTGCCTTTCAAATGCAAAGCTTTCCAGTTTTGTGAGAACAGCTTTGCTTTACTACTAAACAATAGGCTTGTGCAATTCGGCTAAAAGGCATGCCATTTCAGGGGCCATTTTCGACTAACCCTTCATTTTGTTTACCAGAAAGTAACTTGAATCGGAAGGAGTGTTGCCATTTTTATTCGGCAAAGATTTGACCCATTGACTACAATGGGAAACTTTAAAGGCTCAATCCTCGGTTCTTTTCAGGCCTATCTGCACGAAACCTACCTCAGATTTAGGCTCCATTTACAACTGCAGGCCTTCCAAGTTTCCGAACAATTCTCCAGCCTACTGATTTTTTAGAATTATTTTAAATTTTTACCATAACATTTTTTAAACAAAGACAAACCGCTAGAGGGGATTCAGGGAATTGTAGTCACTGGTTGTGTCCATTCTCAATCAATCAGAGCATGGAAACAACCAGGTCTTTTATTGACTGAGAAACAAAGAGAGAGATAAACTTCAACTGCCATCATGCTTCAAGAGGAACTCAGAACTTTTCAACTCTCGCTCAATGCAAATGCTTCTGGGAAAGCGAGTTTCCAGCAGGGCTCTCTCTGGAGGAGGAGCCTGGGGAACTTTTCCGCTGCCAGGGAGGGAGAAGAGATGCTGCAGGATCTTCTCCAGGAGCTCCACAGCAAACCCCTGCCTCAGGTATAATGCAGACTTAACCCCATCCAGTATCTGATAAATATGGCTCTCTTGATCCATTTTGCCCTGCTGTTCGGTTCTCTCCTCCCCATTCTGTTTTTGGGGGATTACACAAAATGGACCACCAAATATTACAAATCACTTTCGGTCAAACTTTCGGTCAAAAAAACTTCTGCTACTTCAAAAAAATAAAACACGTTTCCTGCTTATTTTAAAAAACTATCAAACTCTTATTTGTTGCACTGTATTCTTCTTTGTGGGTTTTGGGCATAATATATATAGCTGAACAGAGTCTCATTTGGAATTTGTTGACAAAGTTCTTTACAGAAAGCCCAAGCCCATTCACACTGTACAATTATAGTGCTATATTCTACTTTAACTGCCATGTCAACATCCTGGGAAATCCTGAGGCTTGTAGTTTGGTAAAGCACAACTCTGTGGCTGGATACTGTAAATGTCTCACTGAACTGCAAATCCCAGGATTCCACAGGATGGAGTCTTAGAAGATAAAGTGGAATCATAGTGCTGTAATATGTGATAAACCCCCTCTCTCTCCCCACATCCTCAATAATATGACTCCTACTGTTCAAGCTAAGATGGCAGCATGACATGTTCATTTGGTCTATCATTGTGCAGGGTTTTTAACCATTTTTCTTATATCATTTGTCTTTGTAAAACTTGTATTTAACCTGTTTGAATATGATTATTAGTATACATTCCATTTTTACCATTTATACTAACTGTATAAAATTTTACCATTTACACTAACTATACTAAGGAGCCCCCGGTGGCACAGTGGGTTAAAGCGCTGAGCTGCTGAGCTTGTTGACCAAAAGGTCTCAAGTTCAATTCCGGGGAGCAACGCAAGCTTCCGCTGTCAGCCCTAGCTTCTGCCAACCTAGCAGTTCGAAAACATGCAAATGTGAGTAGATCAATAGGTACCGCTCCAGCGGGAAGGTAACGGCGCTCCATGCAGTCATGCCGGCCACATGACCTTGGAGGTGTCTACGGACAATTCCAGCTCTTCGGCTTAGAAATGGAGATAAGCACCACACCCCAGAGTCAGACATGACTGGACTTAATGTCAGGGGACAACCTTTACCTTTTTACTAACTGTTCATATTTGTTTGATAAATTGTAGTGTCAGAACTTGGAAATATTTTGTCAGTTATCTTAAGATTTTTCTCACTCACTAGGTGTCCTGATTAAAGTTGTGCATTATAAAGTGAGAATTGGCTAAACTGGATAGTTGTTCATCTCACATACAGTAAGACAGGAATCCCTAATAAGGAACAGGATTTGAAGGAAATGCATCACACAGCTTTGTTTCTAGGCAGCTTAATCTGTTTGTTGTATTTGATCTTTGGGAACAGTGTGATAGGGGAAGTTCTGAAAGTACAGCAGAATATTGATTGGGAACAAGCGAAGAGCTGAAGCAATTGAAGAAGTATGGAAAGGAGGGGAAATGAGTCCTGATGTGAAATTGAATGGAATAGGGGAGTGATTGGTTTACTTAGCCCTCGGGCATCATAACCTTTGCAGACTTCAATGCCTTTTAGGCCTGAAAAAGTGTCATTTCCTGCCACCACTTATTGGTCTGTTCTTCTTTCTGTATAGTGATGCTCTTAAATTCTTCTTTCAGATTGATTGTTCTCTGGTTTCTATTTTTTACATGCACTCCAGCAAATGTGTCACACACATGCACACTTTCAGTGAATCACATGCTTGTGTGTTTTAGTATTAGAGCTTGATTCACATGCCACCCCACCAAAAAATCCTGTTTATAACTTTCTTTTTAAAAATCTACTCCATATTCTACCTTTAATCTCTACAGCTCACAATTCTTCATAGGAAAGGAGAATTAGGACACGCAGTGATTCAGTTGTGCAGGAAATATTCTGTGTATGTTCAGAGGTGAAAAAACACAGTTGGTGCCATGGATTCTGTTGTCACTTGTATTGAGCTTTAGTTTTTCTTTTTGTCTGGAACTGTAGCCATAGTTCTCTTCCCTGCTTTGTCCCACAATATTATTTTCTTCTTCAAAAAAGCTTCCATTTTAACTAATTAACTATTTTCATTGTAAACCAACAAAAGGAATAAAAAAAAACCATGACCAGCTGGCAAGTCAGGAAAGGGAGAGGAGTCAACAGATCTAATTGAAAAAGAATTGTGGACACCTGCCTGGCCAACTGGAGCATGGAGAAACCCAAGTTCTGTGAATTGCTCCTCCTGCCTATCCAGACATTAAGAATTGTACATTCTTAGTTCACTGTGTGGTCTTTGTAACTAGCCAGTTCTTGTTTTATCTCCAGTAAGTTAGTGTCCTTTAGCACAGTGTTTCTTAAGCAACCTGATGGGTAGCTCACAGGGGTTTTTTTTATAATGTAATCTGAGTTAGCAGTATATTTGTGCCCATTGGCTTCAGTTGTTTGTTTCTTTCCTGGAAATGCCTCATGGTCTGGCACAGGTCTACATAACATCACATTGTGTAGCTGAAATGAGTGCTTCGTTCTTTATTACTCTTTTAACTTGGGTAGAAATAATGTCACTCTACAGATGTGGTTGTGCTATCATAGACAGTGGTGAAGTATGCTGAGAGATGCAGATCAACAACTTCTGGAGGTGTACACTATTCCTATCATTGCTGTTACATAACTTGTTATTAACCTTTAATAAACAAGGCATTTGAAGTAAAAGGGGGCAGCGTACATGTTGTATACAGATGATATTAAAGATCTCCAAGCAACAGCCAGAATACTAGCTTTGAAGTAAAAAATAAAGCAAGTTGGGGAAAGCAACCTTAATATGACAGAAAGGCAACTTTTGAAGGTGCCAGTAACAAAGGAGCAGTAGAGTCACCATTCTCTTCTTTCTCATAAACTGCCTTGGAAAGTAAATTTCAAACATCAAGTTAAATAATGATCATTGATGTTAGTAATGAAATAATCTTCCATTTCTAACATTTAACAATGTAACCTTAATATTCAAATCTAATTTCCCAATTTTGGCCATATCTCACATTTTCTGAAATAATGTTAAAATGGTAGGCCAGTTGGGAAATCCAGTGCATCACATCATAAGAAGTGAGTTGATAAATCTGTAATAGATTTGGGAAAAACTGTTCTATATGGAAGTCTAAAACCATTCCTTTGTCATAGTTTCCAGGTGTTTTGTTACATGAGATCTTCTAGCTCTTCTCCTGTGAAAATAGATTGGCACCAGTTATTATATCTTTGATGGTAGCAGTGCCAACTTCATTTCTGTGTATTGTACATCAATCTATTAAGAAGGGATAGCAGAAACGTTACATTGGCAGATTCTGGAAAAGGCTTGCATGGGGCTACAACTTCCAAAATCTGTCAGCCAACATGCCACTGGTCAGGCTAGTTGATGTATTCTGGTTGTTCTGGTCCAAGACAGTTACATTTCCATTCTCTGGTTAAATGTTGTGACATGTTTTGACTATTACATATAAAAATTACAAGATACACAAACTTTAGAAAATATGTTAAAACATATTTACTTTTATGTATAAGTTCACTTCATTATTATCTGAGCTTTCATTTTATTTTAGGAAACAGACCCAGACTTCGACCATTGTGCTGTCTGTATTGAAAGCTACAAGCAGAATGACGTTGTCCGCATCCTGCCATGCAAGTAAGCCAACAATTCTGTACACTAGTAAAGAATGTGTAATCTTAGAAAATAAGCATGTTCAATGTTTCATCGTTTTTTGTTACTATTGGTTTCACTTACTATCATAGAAATGTGAGTACTAAATGTATTCTTTGTCATGTTTCCACTGGGGTGAGCTGGTACAACCATGTGAAAAGGGGCTAGAAAAGCAAAAGGTTTATCATAGAGGAATTCATTGATCAATAACGAAAGGCAAGTTAGATATTTTTAATGCTGATACTGATTTCTAGATATATAAAAGACAAAGCTAGATCAGTAGTTACTGTTGGCCATCCTGACTGTAAATCCATCTCAGGATGTGTGTAGGTATGCATAGCCAAGAACATGTTAGGAATTGCTTGAATTGATGCTAGTAGCTGCATACATACTGCATATTGCCTACCAGGTTAAAAACTTCTATGATTCATTGAAGCTCTACAAAGATACAGATCCCATCTTCAGGCTTAAGGTATTTTAATATATGTTTGTGCCTTATCATATTGCATTTATTTCTTATAGAACTTCTCCATGATGAAAATATTTGTATCAATGGAAAACCCATACAAGCTGGTTTCTACACTAAATACCACTGGTGGTGTCATAGTAGAATACACAAAAGAAGTAATTATCCCAAGTAACTAGCAAGAGATTAACAATCTCATGAAAAGAAACAGATTGTGGTAGAACAGCAAGTTCCCAGTTACACTTGCTCAACTCCTTTGTCCACCTTTCCATTAAGACCTGATTTTAAACTTGATAACAAAAGTACCTTAATTTAAATAGCAAAGCACATAATGTGTGCATTGTCAATTGTGGGGTTACATTAGTTTCTGAATTATTGCCTTTCTCCGCATCTGATGGAAGCAGCAATTGAAAAGTAATACTGTATAGCCAGCCTTTACATTTGTATAGAGCCCTGTAGAAATATTGACCCACCTCCCCTTCAAGTTGAAATGGATTTAATTAGCATGTTGCTATTTGATATACATAAGTTACTCAATGCTGCAAAGGTACATTTCAAATGGGCAAGTTTACATAAAATAGGGGTAGAACAATTGAGCGGAATTATAAGGAAAAGATAGGGAAAGAATGGAAAGGGGTGGTTAGGGAGTGATAGGAGAGGAAGGGAGGACAGAACTAAAAAGCTTTGAATGTGGTAGGGAAAGTAAGGGGTAAGTGGGCATGTGAGAAAGCAAGAACTTGCATCCTCTTTCATTAGAGTCAGTTAATCTGTGTTCTGTATTTCTCAATCTGATCTTTATTCATTGAATGACGATTTTCCTCCTAACTTCTTCTTGGGGTGTTGTGTGGTTTTCAGACTACATGGCCATGTTCTAATCGCATTTTTTCCTGACATTTCACCTGCATCTATGGCTGGCATGAGCAACAGACCACAAGCTTAGATATCAGTCTGTTTACTCTTCAATAAGCACATTATGAGTTGTGCAAATCTTTACTCAACACTTGCTTCAGTTAAACGAGAAATGGACAATGAAAAGAAGAGCAAATAGGTGCATAACTTCGGTGTCCTGCAAGTTTGCAACTAGAATAACAATTTCCCATCTTGCCTACTTCTTCTTCGCTAAACAGAGATACTTTTTTGGGCAAAGATGAAAAGTGTAATTGGCTATAGCTAGTAAAAAAAACCTTAATGTGTATCTCCAGTTGCTTTCTTAATTTTATGCTATAGTGTGTCGTGTAATAAAATTATAAAAACAAATTCTCTATGTCACAGTAATACAGTAAGTTTGTGTAATACAGTAAGTTTGTGTGTGAGAGGGGGGGAGGGGGGTAATGTGGCATTATATGGAAGGCCTGGCACCTTTCTGTGGTCTGGCTTAGTAGGTTATACGGTACTAATTTATAGTATATTTTTAATAAGAAAAATGAGGAAGATACTATAGTATTGATCCCTATTTCTATTGCTAACAAGTAGATTTTTATAATTCATATGTGCTTTTTATTTTATTTTATTTGTAATTTTAAAGTGGATACCTCATTGTAATAACTCCATGTTGTTAAATAGATGGCCTTTGGTTAACCAAAAGGGACTCATATCTATTAACAAGCAACAGCCTTATTTTTTTCTTCTAAACTCATTTTGCAGCTGGCATTTTTAACTGTTTATTAGTACTGTTATGTTACACTCAGAGTTTTAGTAGTCTTGCTTTAGCTGCAATAATTGAGAAGTTTGGGGCAAAAGTTTCTGGAACAAAGTTCCCAGTGTTTTTCAGCAGGACTCTAGTATATTCTCAGGAATATCTTGTGGTAGCTTCCAGTAAACCCCATAAGCCAGTTCTACAAGCAACATGGTATTCAAATCAGTTTCTTTGATAATTTTTATCCTACTCAAACCAAGGAACGTTTTTTTTTTGGTTTTTTTTTTTGTTTGTTTTTTAGTAAATGAGATGGATGTAAAAACAAGCCATTTGGTCTGGATTAGTATTTACAATCAAGCTACATAACTTTCTATTAATTAGGATTTTATATACAAATGCTACATTTCCGTGTATCTATTTAAACAGAAGCAAATATACTTCATTAATAAGCTCATGTGGGCAGACTTGGTTGGATGGCTTTTAGCTGTTGGCATCGATGATGTGGACAGGATGCTTGATTCGATTCATGCCAGAATCTCAGTTTGTTTCAGTAATCGAGAAAAAACATAATTCTTGGTCATTGATGATATTTCATGCATACTGCCCTGAACCTGTACTGTTTCCATTTGCTCCTAATTATATAGGAAAAGGTTACTGACTAAGACCAAAACAAGTTATTTATTTATTTGATGTGCAAGGAAAGATTTGGTTTCATTTCAAAACACCTGTGTTCTTACAACATGCCTTTAACAAATATTTTAAGCATAAATAGGACATTTTAAATTTGAATTATACTTATGTGGAGGGGCCCAAGAGCCATCTAGTCCAATCCCCTGCTATGCAAAAGTACACAGTTAAAGGACTCCTCAAAGAGTGTTTACACCTCTGTTCGAAAGCCTCCAAAGAAAGAGAATACATCAATCTCCAGTCTTACAGGCAACAATAACAGGGAAGCATATTCAGAACAAATGAGATACTCAGTCAAACATTCACTTATTTACTTATTGCCCAGTAGTTCACTGGTTGCCCTTTACTTTCTGGGCAAAAGAACAAAGTTTTGGTTATTAACTTTAAAGCCCTACATGGTTTGGGGTCCAGGTTACCTAGAGGATCCCCTTCTCCCATACACTTAGGTTCTCTGGGGAACCTTTACTTCAGCCAGCCAGAACCCAACTGGCAACTGTCACCCAGAGAATCTTTCCATTGACGGCTCCTAGTCACTGGAATGGCCTGCCAGAAGAGCTCTGATAGCTAAATGAGCTGTTAAAATTTAAAACACAATTAAAGACCTATGTCTTTTTGCAGGCCTACCCAGTCAGTTCTAAACTATGAATTTTAAATATACATTTTATTCGTATTGGTGTTTTCATCTTCGTTCTAAGTTTTTAATGTATGCATTTTATGGACCTTTGTTTTAATCATGCATTATAACTACGTTGCATGCTACAAAGAGAGGCAGGTAATAATATTATTTTCCCTAGTCTTGAACTCAAGGATGATTATAATAGTTAAAAGATACATCTAAAAGGCTTACATCATCCAAGAGTCAAAAATATAATTAAACTGCAAACAAAATTAAAAGCATAAGCATTAAAAATAATAAGAAATAAGACAGTCAGCCCCCAAAGACCTGTCAAAATAAGAAGGTCTTCACCTCTATTTAACAGATAGAATGGAAAGTGCTGGTCTCACTTCTTTAGGAAGGGAGCTTCAGGATCCTCTCCCTTGTTACCACACACTGTATCTCTAAAAGCTGTGGGGCAGTTTCTTACTTCCAATGTTTTTCCTAAGTTCAGAATAATTTTAATAAGCAAAGTGTGAAATATATAACCCACACTTTAGAAGAGACTAAAATTTCTTATTAAGGACATAGTCATTCACTAATCCCAACTGAAGGATGCATGCCAGTTTTTTAGAATCCCCTAAATGAATTTAAAATAGCTACTTATAATGTTACAGCCTACCCAGAACTTTGATTTTAATAGTTTACAAATGACCTTCGTTGTGTTTTTTTCAGACATGTTTTCCACAAAACCTGCGTAGATCCATGGCTCAGTGAACACTGCACCTGTCCTATGTGTAAACTGAACATTTTGAAGGCCCTGGGAATTGTGGTAAGTTGATATTTATTTAAAAAGTCATGAATGTGGAAGCTACTTTCCAAAAATATCACAAATCAGTACATTCATGTCTGTTTTCATTGTCATCATCTTTAGCCTTGTGCTTTTTCTTCTGATATTTGCTGGCTCATGACAACGAGGGGCCTTTTCCCTCATTATACAAAACATGATTCAGTCTTTTGGTGGTCACTCCTTTTGCCTATTCTACTTGAGCAAGGGATAGAATGTTGATGCATGTTTAATTTATCAACATTTTGCCAAACAGACCAGAGAAAACTGCTCCTTATGCCTCTGGAAAAAGATCCTGGAGGCATTGAATTCTCCCACACATTCAACCGTCTGGTCGTGGTTAATTGTTCTTCACCTATTAGACAACATAGGACCAGCAGCTTGTAGCATCCATAATGGTCAGGCATGTAGCCGGGGGGGGGGGGGGGGGGGGGGGGCTTTTAGGGCGCCTTGCAGATAGAGGTATCTCTACCGCCACTCCGCCCTTGAGGGCCATAATTCGTCCATGGTGGTATCGCTAAAAACGGGTGGCCTTGACTGATGCATTATTTTATAACAAAAAGACGGATGGAAGAAGGTAAGGGGAATATATAGAAGGTGCAATGGATAACGCTATGAGGGCTGGCAAGTATACTCCCATATGGCTACTGGGGGTATTGGGGTAATTTACGATACAAAAGGTGATTTGCTAGGTTAGACCGTTCTTTCACTCAGACCCCTTTCCTGATTTGCCCCTTCCTTCCACACAGGCACACACTTCTACCCCCCCCCCCCCCCCCCGAATCGAAATCCTGGCTACGGGCCTGATAGTGGTGATGATGTCAGCTGCTGCTTTGGTACTGATAGCCACCATAGTCAATGATCCGGACTTTTTGAATCATCTGAAAAAGCATAAGTCAAAGTGCTGGTCTTGACCTATAAAACTGTTGCCCTCCAGAACAGGAAATGGCCCCTCTGACTATAAACACACCACACGTTGAGTGAAGGAACAATCCTTTTTATTAAAGCTTAGCAAAAAAAAAAGCCAGTAAAAATAAATGCTTGTAAAGATTGATAAGATTCCAAAAAGCAATAAGGCATTTAAAGGCAGGAAGAAAACACAGCGTCCAAATGTAGCATTCAAAAGCAATGTTTGAAAAGCATAAAATAATATTCCAAGGCACTGATAATCCAGACAGGAATTAACCAAGAAGCAAGAACCGACCAGAAGCTGCTAGTCAAGTTGAAAGGCTAGAAAAAACCATGAAGACGAGATCACTTGAACAGGAATTCCATGCGGCTTGTGCTAGGTTTCCAAACAATGCCTGATCTGACAAGATTTTCTACTGGCAAACCTTAAATCCCAAGATTTTGTTTTCCCCTAGTCTTTGACTTTAATTGACGAATTCTTTTGGATCTATGTAAACATTGGGCCTCTTGTCGATTCTGGCTAATCTCCAGCCACTGACTCTGCTTATCTGACTCTTCATTAACTTTAGCAGGTGTCAGACTGTTTCCCAAACTAGAAACTGAAGGGCTCACAGACGGAGGGAATAAACCTTTCTCCCAAGGCAAAAGACAGAAGCATTCTCATGAGAATCTGCCCTTTGCCTCAAAACCTCTCTGTGAGTGTCTGCATGAAACTCATTGCCCAAAGTGTCTCCATCTTGCACCTCAGAGTCAGTCCCAGCATCCCCCACACGCCCAGGTTCAATCACAGGCTGAGTCCCAACAAAACCCTAAACAGTCCAGCCGAGCTTACCTGTCCAAATGTATCTCCCTCTATGAACCCCCAAGGACCTTAAGATCGTCTGGAGAGGCCTTCTCATGGTCCCACCACCATCACAGCCATGCTTGGTGGGAACGAGAGACAGGGCATTCTCGGTAGTGGCTCCTCAGCTGTGGAACTTCCTCCCTAATGAGATCAGATCTGCCCCCTCCTTCATGACCTTCCGGAATAAGCTCAAGCCCTGGTTATGGGATCAAGCATTCGTAGAATAGATGGTTTTAATTGACTTTTAAGCTAACAGCAATGGATTGATTTGGAAGACGACGTAAAATGGTGAACTGTTCTAATGTATCTATAATTGTTTTTTAATGTAGTTTAATTGTATATGATGCTTGTTTTATTGTTTGGCACCAAATGGTGCCTGTTGGTAGTCATCCTGAGTCCTTTTTCGGAGGCGAGAAGGACAGGATAGAAATGCTCCTCACAATAAATAAATAAATAAATAAATAGTGTCATTAAATCCTGAGAGTGTCACTTATCTTGGATAAATTTAAGAAATGCTTGAGGCAAAGAACTACTTTTTCTTCATTTCCCCCATGAGTGATATTTTCATCATTTTCTGGAGTTCACATTTCTCTGCCTCTTCTAATAGAACACAAGGAGACAAGGGAAAACAAACTCCAGAAAATAAAAATGTCATTTTCTGCTTGCATCATTGGCTCAGCTTCTAAGGAACATATTATGTAAGTTTTCAGATTTACCTTTTCAGGAACATGGGCCTGATCTCCTGTCCTCTTCTAGTCCAAACACATTTATCATCCAGCTGTCATAAGTGTTCCCTAATCCCTGCTGTTTTACGGGTTTGTAAAGGCAGCAAAAAGAAATGGTAGAGATTGTCAGCTTTCATGGTTGGCAAGGCAGTGGATCAGTACAGTTAGAAATATTATTTAATGTACCTTCAAAGGCTTTTACCAGCAGAGAGGGAATCTTGGAGCAAAGATAAAACTTGGAATATAGACATGAACAGTTGCCTGTCCTACTGTAGTCAGATAATTTTTCAAGCCACTCTCCTCAGAGTGCCTACCTCAGGGGACATATCTGTGGAAGTCAGGCATTGCTTGGAGACAGTAATCTCCTTTTTTGGTACCATTGAGGATTGTGTCTCCCTTACTGCACCAACACTGTAGCAGGTAATGTAATGGGCTGTTCTGTGAACAGAGTGCACCAAATGAAGTCCAGGCATTATGTTCACTTCCCATATTGCTTCAGTCTACTGCAATCTGCTGCAAAAGGGAACTGTTGACTCTTTACCACAGGAGATGAATCACACAGATTTTATTCCCATTGTTTCTGTTACCAGAGTGGCAGCAGTTTCCTTAGACCGACAAATCCTGAATGATTTTATTACCACAACGAAGTTCTCAGATAATGACCCTCATGCAAGTTACCCCTCCCCTTTTTGAGGAAGTCTTATTTAGTACTTGTGGTCTGCACATGAAAGATATTTTCATTTTACTCTAGGCCAGTGGTTTTCAATATGGGGTCCCTAGATGTTTTTGGCCTTCAACTACCAGAAATCCTAACAGGTGCTAAACTGGCTGGGATTTCTGTGAGTTGTAGGTCAAAATCATCTGGGGACCCCAGGTTGGGAACCATTGCTCTATGCAGTGACCGCTTCTAATCATATTCTTCCCTTTGGATTTGCCGCTGCATCAAAAGTGTGTTTATAAAGTGTATCTGTCTCATGGCTGCCATACACCCATGTCTGGAAGGCATTTCTATTTTTTTGTATACTGCTGATTGATTTTGGTCTCTGCTCAACATTTATGTATTAGAAGCTTCCATTTGTTCTTACAGTTAGGCTTCAGTATACCTTTACATTCTTCCTTAAGTGAATAGCTCTGTTACTAAACATTTTAGATATGGGAGTAAATGTAAAAATTTAGGTGGTGTTTTCCTACAACAAGGAATAGAGTCACCCATCTCTTTATCATTAACTCTTAGTGAAAATTAAGGTTATGTTACTTGGTGCTGAAAACCTGTATATCTCCACTTCACTGGTTTAAGCAGTGAAGGCACAGTACTACAGAGTATCATTATTTACTATAATTTGCTTATATGTATATCCCATTTATACATTCTATAAAATTTTGACATAACTGACAGTTCCTTCAGAAATAAAATACATTGACATCATATTATTGTATTCCAGACAAATGTGCCATGTGCTGACAATATGGCCTTTGATATGGAAAGGCTTACCAGAGGTCAGCTAGGCAACAGAAGATCAGTACTTGGTGACCTTAGCAGTGACACTTCACTCACTCTTGAGCCCTTGCGTACCTCTGGAATATCACAATTTCCACAAGATGGGGAGCTTACTCCAAGAACAGGAGAGATAAATATAGCTGTGACTAGTAAGTGAATTTGTTTTTAATATGGAAATCATTGGTTTTGTGTTACTCTCTTGTTTTTACAGAACGCATGTAAACAACATGTTTCATGGAGTGTTATATATGTATTAAAATAAATATATTTATTTTGGATAACAATAGATGTCAAGACACTAAAGGATGAATATCAAGATAATAAAATTAAAAACAGTTTGATGGCAAAAATATTGCATAATAATTGTGCAAATAAGTTGTGTAAGATAATTTATATGAGAAGCAATTCAGTTTGCTGAAGTATTAGTCTGGTTAATTTTCTTACTAGTTTATTCGTGTTTTCAAACCAGCAGGTAAGGGATGTGGGAATGGGAGGAGGGAGGGTATGCATGTTCCCTCGTGTGCTCACTTACTTGCCAGGGTGGACAGCAGGAGGAGGGGAGGGTACAAGTATCCTCTTGTGCATTCATTTACTCACTTGCTTGGGCAGATGGGGGGCATGGGACAGGGGGGTGGGAGAAGGGAGAGGGACAACTCCAGGATGGAGAGAATGGGAGAGGGGAGGAGGAGAAGGCAGATCAGGAAGAGGGTGATGTCAAGAGAAGGACAATACAATGGGGTTGTCCTACCTCCGTCCTGGAGACCTGCCCACCATCCACCCTCCTTCCTCCCATTCCCTTATCCCATCACCTTCCTCATGCGAGTAACTGAAGTAATGTGCATGTGCCTGGTACTAGCCACCCCATCAGTTTGATTTCCTCCAACAACTAAAGATTTGACCAATTACTAAGTATGAGTTCATTGAACACAGTTCAAGATGGACACTGATGTTATCAAATTCCCTATTAGAAATTGTGTAGGGCAGCAGTAGAGGTGCCAGCAGATAAGTAGTGAATAATCAAATCCACTAAGGTTAAACCCACAAACATGGAGGGACAACTGAACTTCCATCTCTTCCCTGTGGGGATGAATGAAGTGGGCTAACTGGTTCATAATCTCTAAGATACTTGTAAAAGTGCTGCTGACTAAAGTTTGTTCAATATTTTTCTTATATTTTTTAAATTATCATCTTGAAGGTTAATAAAATATTAAAAATATTTAATTATAATATATTTTTATCTTTTAGAAATGATTTTTGTGTTTGATAAAGTATTCAAACAGTTTATAGTCTGGGCCTCATCAAAAAACCATTTGAAATATTTTAAAGGATTCTACCTTTTACCTGTAAACTCATTGTAGCAATAAATAAACCCTATATTGTGTCTGTTAGATGAGTTAGGGGAGTGTTCTTTAGAGAAAGTGTAACATCTTGACTGTACCAGATATACGGATGGGAATTTTATGATTCAGTCAAAAAGATATAGTTCTGCCTTGGTGTAGTCTGTCTCTGATAATAAGCAAATTTTGTGTAGGTTTCTTTTTGTCTAGCACACCAGATTATACTGACTCTTATGATCTTTATTTGATGAACTGTGTCCTATTTCCCTGATTGGATGTATTTCATTTGCTAGCTAGAAATTACCTGATCCTGTTCTGATGGTGGAAGATAGATAGAAATTCCTGAGAAGTAACACTTGGGTATTGCTTAACGAACTACTAATTTAAGAGGAATTACCATAACAAGTATTATCAATCTGAAAATGGAAAAGCTACCAGGCAGTTTGTGAGGAGTTTTACCCCTAATGTTTTCCATAATACATGCTGCAAAAGCTCAAGGAGGGATCGGATTTTGTTCTGTTTTACTTCTTAAATAATTGAACTTGTAGCCCTGAAATTCTTCAACCTAAACCCAACCAGCTGTTTAGACCCATTGAATCTGTGGGAACTTTGCAGTTCCGTGAATTCCTCAGGTCTACTCTGGTTGGAACCAACATGTGGACTAATTGCAACTACAAATTAGCTTTAGGCCTAATGTGACAGTATTATTTTTGTCAATAAAATGAGCATGAAATATACAGCTATACTGAAACCTCTCTACATCCTTGTGCAGTTTTGATGGCTCTGCCAACTTGAAAATTAGCAATAGTTATATGTCTGCCGAATAGTCAAGGAAGTGTATGGCCAGTGAATTAGCAGCTTTCTTTCATTTGACTAGATATGCAAGATTTGTTTATGTGGTTTACATTTCACAAAATTCAAAAATGTTGTCAACAAATACATTTTACACCCACACATTTAAAAGTAAGTATATTAACTTAACCTCAGTCCTCTTCCCTTTCTGGCCCCTCAAAAGTGAAGGCCATTATAAAGGAGAAGAAGCATATGTATTTCTCACTCTTTCTACATCACATACAAATAGTAAACATCTAAGAATGCATCACTTAACTAAAACAATGTAAAATAATCACACATATGTTAAGTTGTACTTTATTTTAAAACAATTATAGACTAAAATTAAATATCATTTTATGCATTATTGATTCCACAAGGAAATTTGGTTTTTTTAATACATTGTCTGCTTCCCTTTTGAATAAAGGAGATGTAATGCTGAAACATTTGTATGAAATGTATGTATATATGATGTTAGCATTCATAGATTCTTACATATAGGCTTCATTGGAGATGCTCAATTTTGAAACTTTTTAATTGCAGGTAAAACCTTTGCTTATACTTTCCTTATTTTGCATTTTACATGCTCCGCTTCTTAGTATTATTGGATCATGCCTATTTTTCTTGCTTTTCCCCATTACTTCTTTGCTGGCCTTTTCCATTTAGTACCTTCTATGGCTAACCTTCTGATTTCTTCTGGAGTTTCCCTTCCTGGTGCCTCTCTTGACTGCTTTCGATCTTTGAGGTCAATGTTGCCATCGATTTGACATAAGCCTTCTTCCACAAGTGATTTCCTCCCTTTCCTTTGTCAACAGAAGAATGGTTTATTATTGCCAGCTTTGGCCTCTTGAGTGCCCTGACACTCTGCTACATGATCATCAAAGCCACAGCTAGCTTAAATGCTGATGAGTAAGTAAATGTTCACAGTGTTGGTATTATGATAGCATTACATTCTTATAGAAGAACTAGAAGGGACAAGATCTAAAAAATATTCAAACTACAGTGCTTCCCCATTGCTGTGTTGATTACAAAATAATTTGGCAATTTGAAAACAGGTTTTAAAGGGAAAAAATTGAAGTTATCTTTGATTTCTTTTTTACCCTTTTACTGATTTTATTCTAGAAAAAAAGGATGGTTAAATAGGAAGTGCAAAAAAGTAGAAATGATTTTTAAATGTATATAACAACAAGACAGAAGTATTAAATAAAATAATGACCTTTTTTTTAAAAAAGTGCTATTTTATTTAATACTTTTTTTTTTGCTGTCTTATGTATCCAGGGACAAGTGGTGTATGAGGGCCTTTGATTCCCTGTAGCATAAGAGTGGAGAAAGTGTGATCAGCAAGAAGCATGCAGCCCCAGCCCCAGCCCCTTTTTTATGCCCTCCAACCCTGCCCTGTAAAAAAAACCTCCCCTTTGAAAGTGGACAGCTAAACAAACCAATATCTAGAGGAGAGCAAGATATAGACACATACATAAATTGTAATAATGAAATATATGGGAACACAACTTATCTCATTTGTATTTTTTAAAATATTGATTTATTGCTTATTTCTCATAGACTCAAACGTTTCCCATTAGGTTTGTGTGACACACCTACAAACTGCCCATTAGGTTTGTGTGACACACCTACAAACTGCAGACAACATACTAATGTGTCACAACATGCAGTTTGGAAAGTTCTCATCCAAACGGTCCCACTTTACTAATCAAAGCTTTATTCAGTAGTTCACATGGAAGTGATCAGAAAGCATGACAGGCATACTATTTTCTGACAATATTTAAATACCACTTTAGCAAATCAAAATGTCAGAATAGATTCATTGCTTGTTCCCAATTTTTTTTCTGATTCTCAGTATCTGTGGTGGCCACTTACAGAAAAATGGCTTCATGCCTTCCTTCCAGTTCACTGGAAATGCTATCATATATTGTTTTACTTGCTATTTGTGTATAGCATTCTGTACATAACTGATTTTTAACATTTATAAACAAGGATTAATAATAAAATATTATTATTTATATGATTTTCTCATACTTTTTTACAGAGCTGAGTGGTATTGAAAGAAATCTGGCCATTCTGAATCATAACATCTGACCAATTACTTTGGAGAAAAAGCAACATATTTTTATGTATCATTTACTGATCATGTAACACAATATGCTAGTACCTTCTATTTTCATAATTTGCTAATGCCAAAACTTTGTATTAAGATATATATCAATAAAGCTTTAGTTATTAATAAAAAGGCTGAGATTGAGTGTTATTGTTCACAGTTGCATGGATCATGGAAGGAACATGTCTTCTAATTCAGTAGTCTTTCAGCTTGATTCTATTACATTTGTACATGCAAATTTAAGTTGATCATCCACAACTCATGAACACAAAATTATAAGCAAACAAAATGACATTCAGTTAGTTACTGGGGTCCAATGAAATAATATTGTAAATGGCAGACTCAGTATGTGTATGAGTTCTATATATTTTCTCATCCATCTAATTCTTAAGAGCAGTTCTCTAGATGCTTTAGAAGGATGGAGGACACTGGAAATTCCTGAACTATGAGTACAACTCCATTTGTACTGGGAATGTATAGAGCTTATGACTGTAATGCAATAATCAAAGTAGAAGAATACTATCTGATAGTTCCATGCACATTTAGTTTGTTATTTAATTTGAAAGGATGGCACATTGGGGGGGCAAGCTTGTCTTCTGCTGTTTGGGAGACTAGGATATGGAGCAATTCATTCAAAATGCAGGAACAAGAGTCTACATTAAAGAACTTTCTGATGGTAAAAACTGTTTGACAGTGGAATATGCTGCTGAGGACTGTAGTAGAATCTCCTTTGGAGGTGTTTAAACAGAGGTTGGATGGCCATCTGTCAGGAGAGCTTTGATTGGATTGCCCTTGTGGTCTCTTTCAGCTCTATGATTCTGTGATCCATTTTTTAAAATATATTACAACACAGAAATTCAAGAAGTCT